CCAAGTTTTGATGTCGCAACTCAAAATGGTTGAACGTTTCCAGCCCCGTTGTTAGCAAAGTCAAAGTGTTGATTTTTTTTTTGCTCCCCATGGTGAAACCTATTTCACATAGTGAAACCGCGTGTTTGTCCGTATAAAGTCAAAAGTGCAAGTAAAATATCCATTTGGCTTGTAAATCCTTAATATGCGTTTTTGTTTTTAAATAAAATTTTAATATGGCCTCTTGAGGCCCATATGATGTCCGCCAAAAAAGATTAGGATCTCGGATGAATCTGAAAAACAAGCATAAATATAAGTCATATTTGGGATACATGGGCACAGTGACTATAAATATAAATATATAAGCATAAAACACAGTATAGATATAACAAAAGAATACCGGCGCCTTCAATTGCAAGGTGCCCAGCAGCTCAGTATGGCAGACACGAGAGAGGCAGCTCCCACAGGTCAAATTGACCATCAATCTAGGAGACAAGGAACGAAAGAAAGCGCCTCAAAGAGGCGCTTTTTTCGCTCCTTGTCTCCTACAGTATAGATATCACTCAAAAGCTTTGCTGTATATATAAGGGTAATTGCCCACATATTTACAGGTACTTAAATGCCCACCCTTTGTAACATATCAAGCCATTTTTATTAATCTTTCAAACAGTTATCACTGACAGTAAAAGGAAAAATCAAAATTTTGGGTTGTCACCAAAAAATCTTCCAATGGGGAAATTTTGACCCTGCTGACCACCAGGAATTTCCCTCACTTTGGAGGGATTTCCACTCTACATGAAGGGAAGGAAAATCTCCCCAATGGGACACAGTTGGCAAAAGCTGAGGGTTATAATCCTCCCCTACTCTATCCAAAATTAAAAAAAGGTTTTGGCTTCCCTTCTACTTTAAGCCATTGATTTCTGTGGGTGGTTTTACGCAGCGCCTGTAGCTCCCTGGTGGGAAATATGCACAAATGTACACTCTACAACCTCAGGCAGTGCTGTGTGAGCAATCTTATTTATTTAATTTTTTTTTAAGATGAACTAAGGAATGTCTTTAAAATGTATGAAAATGGGCCCCAAATGCTGGCTGAATATTAAATGCAAAATATTAATATGCAATGTTTCATAGATATGCACTAGTTAAATAATAATGAAATCACTGAGCATGCGTAGTACCTATTCTAGAGGGTCTCTATGTTGTTCTCTATCTGATTTCTTGTCATTTGAATGATAGGCATCAAAAAAGCGCCATATGCATCTAAACTCTCCAGAGGTGTCATCACCTCTAGTCTATGCTAGACCAATGAGTCATGACTGACATGTGGGAGGTCTGCTATGGTGACAGACAAGCTGTGAACTGCAGCCTGTGAAGCAGAGCAAGTAGAGAGCATGCCGTGTAAATTAATTTGGAATTGCTGTAACACTAGTCACACTTATGTATTTTCAACATCACGTATTATTATTAAGGATGAGCTTAGGTTCAGACCGTACCTTCCGAACATGAGAGGAGCTCCTCCAAACACAGAATTAATCTCGTTCTATGACACTCCAATCAGCTGTGACCAGGGAATTCCCCTCCCACAGCTACACCTAAGCAAAGGGATGGGATGCAGTGACATCATTGACATTATTTGGCCACATGGCTATATACAGTATCTGGTCAATGACTATCACCTAATATGGCCATGTGTCCAAATAATGTCAATGAATTTAGCACAAGCATCCCACCTATTTGTTAATGTGCAGCTGCAGATCAGGGAATACCCCAGACCAAAGCTGAATTGGCGGGTGGCCCATAGCACTTCGGGATTCGGAGGTGCTCCGGTTTGGACAGGGTTCGGTCCAAACCTGATGTGGATTTATATCCTTTGTGTCTATTGTGGAATGTATTTAAATGCAAGTTTTTGTGTCTGGATGTCAGCTTTTATTTTGCCGATTTTGATGAAGTCTCCTGTGTTTTGACCTTCGCTAGTTCACTTTAGCTGCAGGATAGTGTGATATAAGGACAATGTTTATATTTCCTTATGGTTATCAAGCAGCATGGAGTGTGTAGGTTGACTGTTGAAATGCAGTCAATTAATGTCGTAGCTCTAGGGCCGCTTGTTCAGATTCCACTGACAAAGTCTTACAAATACCGGCAGCTCTTCCACATAACACTCAGGCGCTTGTTTACCTTGTCACTGTTTTCAGTACATCCAAATCATGTACACAGTACACATTATTAATTATGCATGGGCACTGCTAAAATACATTTCAAACCTGACAGCTGATTCCGGCTTGCATCCAGACAGTGCCACGGCTTTATTTTATTGTACAAAAACCATATGATTGTCTAACAATACACCAATGTGCCGAAAATCAGAAGAGTCACAGAACTTTCTGACAGTAGCAATTTTCTGATTATTAATAGTAAGCACACACGTTGGCGATAACATCATTTTGTGTTATTTTCTTCTGCTTCAAAATCTCTATATAAGAAGTGAGAGAATTTGACCCTCTATGAGCAGGTGATGATTATTAAAGAGTAACGCTGGCATTTATAAAATGATCTCCATAGTGGAAGTGCACCATGACTACATGGGGATCATACACATGGGCATGTACACTAGAGCTGCAACAACTAATCGGCTAAATCGATAATAATCGATGATGAGAATAGTTGGCAACTATTCTCATCATCGATTAGTTGGTTAGGGAAGAGGAGAGAGAGAGATTTTTTATACAAACAATTGATTAGGTGTAAAAATAATCGGATAACTAATCCATTATGAAAATAATTGTTAGCTGCAGCCCTAATGTACACCCATATGGCATGCATGCCCATGCAGGGTCCCACTCCCGAGAGAGACAGGTGCTGCGTGGAATTTTCATGCAGCCATCTCTGCCTACCTAGGGGAGGACACAGCTGCACATGGCATCCGGTTCAGGTGCCCACACTTGGATGCACAGCAGGTATTTTTTTGCAGTTATCAAACTGCTTGAAAAGGCTTTCAGTGGTATATTCAACATACCAAAGGGACGTGAATAAGAGCATGTGACTTAGGCAATCTTGTGTGACCCTTGTTGGGCAGTGTGTCACTGCGTTGTATCTGAAATATGAGCATAGCAAAATGTAGTGATTTCAATGTGTTAGCACTGTGGTGGCCAGATAAAAAAAGAACTATGCCAAAAACTGAAAGAAAGCGAGAAAGAGGGAGAAAGAGAGAGAGAAAGAGGGAGAAAGAGAGAGAGAAAGAAAAAGAGAGAGAGGGAGAGAGAGAAAGAAAAAAGAAAGAGAGAGAGAGAGAGAAAGAAAGAAAGAAAGAAAGAAAGAAAGAAAGAAAGAAAGAAAGAAAGAAAGAAAGAAAAAAAGAGAAAGAAAGAAAGAAAGACAGAGAAAGAGAAAGAAAGAAAGAAAGAAAGAAAGAAAGAAAGAAAGAAAGAAAGAAAGAAAGAAAGAAAGAAAGAAAGAAAGACAGAGAAAGAGAAAGAAAGAAAGAGAGAGAAAGAAAGAAAGAAAGACAGAGAGAGAAAGAAAGGGAGCAAGTGAGAGAGAGGGAGGTGACAAGTTGTCACTGGGACAGGAGTAAAATGGACATGTTTGTGTGACCCCTGTGAGTGTATCACAAACATGAGCTTAGCAAAATTTAGTGATTTTTATGTGTTAATATCAGGGTGACCAGACAATAAAATAAACTTTGCCAATAACTGATTATTAAGAAAGAACGCAAGAAAGAAAGAGAGAGAAATGAAGGAAAGAAGGAAGGAAGTGTCAGTATTCCACTGATTTATGACCCATCCCCCCAATGTCAGTGGGCCATTACTATATGATGTGCTAAGGGTTTGATTTGTTTATGAACCCCTTAGTGTAGGTGCACCATTTCTTCATGACTACCTAAGAGACAAGGTAAGGTATACACGGTTCTATTTTTTTATTTAAATCCGCGAGCTGAACAAAAAAATAGAAGAGATTCCTCTATCAATCTTTCAAGTGTTGATGGATCCATCCCCTGCTGTTTGCATTGTATTCTGACAGTGGCCGGCAGCTGCTGTCAGAATACCCGAACAGCTGCTAGCTCCATTCGGCCAAGAATTTCTCAACCAGCTCCTATGATCAGCTGATCGAGGGATTTTCAGGCAGAAGGATCTCGACAGCGCCCCCCACGGTCCGGATTTTGGGTGGTTTATTTAGGAACCATGTGTGTGCCCGACTTGAATGTGCCCTTATTGTATGATTTGTCAGGATGACTCATATGTTGTTATAGTATGTTTCTGTACCCCCCAATATGTAGTGTGTCAGTGTTGTGCATCACAAATATGAACACAGTGAATACTTGGGTCAGCATAAAGGTACCACATGCATACAATTAGCAGTCAAACAATGTGATGATAGAAGAAAGGAAGGACAGAAGGAAAGAATAATAAAGGAATGAAGGAAGAAAGAAAGGAAGGGAGAGAGGGAGAAATAAAGAAAGGTAGGAAGAGAGGGAGGTAGAAAATAAGGAAGGAAGGTAGGAAGAAAGGGAGGGAGAAATGAAGGAAGGGAAGGGAAAGGAAAGGAAGGAGGGTGGAAGGAAAGGAAGGAGGAATCAAGGAAGTTAGGTAGGAAGAGTTTTGCTATCTAAAAAAGGACAGTCAAATGGTCTAATGGATGAGTAGGTTAGGCCAGCATCTAGTGGATGAAATACACAGATGTAGGGTGTCTAGCGTTGACTGACTACTAGGCCTTCTTAGGACTGAAAATAAAATTACACAACTACCAACGATTGAACTATTTCTTTAGTGTGACAACAATAACTATACCTACTAGGTTTCAGGGCCTCTCAGATGCCATCGTGCCTTGCATGAAGGTGGTCATGAGTGACCCTGAAACTTAAAAACAAAACAAAAAAATGTAAACCTCACCAGAAATATACATACTGAACTTTATAGAATAAAGAATAAAAATAAAATAATATATACTTCCTGTACTAAAATTAAATATTCTGCCATGTAATCATTATGCGTAAGCGAACTAAAATTCAGGACAGCCATATACAGAAACTATGTAAGCTTATTCTGCAGCCTTAATGGTTTAACCTTAATTAATAATTAAAATCGTAATTATTATTGTACATTTATTACAACGTTTCTGCAGGAAAAGGACATGTTTTTACTGGAGGACATCACAGTGTGGTTAATTCTTTATGTATCAATAAATACTATATGGATTGAAATGTATTGTTCATCTGGAACACATTAAACTGTAGCATTACGATAACCAGTTTCATATTTTTTTTTATTTTTTGGCAGATTGTAATTACAGAAAAAAGTGCTGTTGTGAATACCAGCAAATCCGAAATACTAGAAACTGGAATGGTTTCAACAGCTAATAAACCTTAAGTACAAAAAAAACATTTTACAACTCCTTTCCCACCCATGCTTCAAGGTTTGTCCATTCAATTAGAATAGGCTGTCTTAACGCTACGCACGTCAACTAAATAAGCTTGCTTATATGCGTGTGGTAACGCACCAGATCTGAACCCATCCTATAGCTTAACTCCAGGCAGGAATGAAGTAACACAATTTAACAAAGTTATGTAAAATAGATAACATATATATTTAAATGCAATTAGTGTTGATATCAGCCTTCGAGAATTCTCCTGCACAGCAGCAAACTGGGAGTGGGAGGGGCCGTATTCAGCCTATTAGGATCTGATGTTTGCACATGTGCTGACAAGGAACATACTGCGGGGTGAGAGAGGAAAGGGATGACCTCAGCAGTTTGCTGCTTCTTCTTTGCTGTCCAGTCAAAGTCTGGGGGCAGGGAGGGGAGCAGCTTTCTGATTATAAGAATGGTGGCCACTGTGCCCGCTCATTCCCTGGGCCACCGGTCATGTAACATCCCGTTGTAGCTCATTCTTAACCAACGGCAAAGTAATTTCATTATTGCTGGCTGTGGTGGGAGGATCCAGGCATCTCAGACTCCTGGCCTGCCCCATCCACTAACATGCCCAAAGATGATTGACAGGCAAGGAGACTCCTGGCCTGTCCCGCCCGACATATCACATGACCATATCTGAAAGGCCAGGAGACTCAAACCACCACTAACCCACCCATGAACCACCAGAAACCAGCCCACTGAATGCCTAATTTCCCATTGCATAATGGGAACTTGAGTTTGATACAGTAGTGCATGAGCATAGCTACTTTTTCCCATATGGCAATGATGTCACTGACATTAAAAAGGTAATTTTAACAATAATCAAGTGTGAAAAAAAATAACATAGTTGTGAGATTCTAAAAACATTTTGGAGTTCAGCTTCAGCTATACCATGCTAAAGTGGAACTCCTAACGATCTGACCTCCTCTAGCTAGTAAGGTGTAGAACCTTGGTTCTCGACTGGGGGGTTGTGACCCAAAAGTTACCCCCGCCTCTGGCCAGGTCTGAAAAAACAAATGGAACAGTGTACCATTTTGACCGACCGGATTGTGTCCCCTCAGTATGTATTTTTTTGTCAGCACATGTGCAAACATTAGATCCTAATCGGCTGAATACTGCCCCTTCCACTTCCAGTTTGCTGTTTTGCAGGAGAATACAAGAGGCTGATATTGTCACATTGTGACCCCATCTTTTATTTTTTACCAAAAATTGGGTATCATATTGTGTATGTGTGCACTAAAACAGTTGGGTGAATGCTATTTGCATGATATTACTGCCACTAGATGGAGCTAGGAAGCACAGGAAGCACAGTGGGAGGAAGTTTCATTCATCAGCTCTTGAGCATCACACTGCTCTTATACAAGCTAACGTCTATGTGAACTAGACCTTGTTTGCAAGGTTTTATTTTATAAGACTGATATTGCTACAAGTGAAGAGCAAATTTTTTTTCTGATCTGACTGAAAGGTGAATTTTCTTTTTTGGCTTTTCCCGAATAAGACGATCTGAAGGGAATATGGAAATTCATGAATGAAGTCAATCAGGATGATAATTTGCAGGTTTGACAAATCATTCTACAAGCACATAATCAGGCATGTTGAAAATGTTCAACTAGAAAGAAAGTGACATTTAACAAATCTGCCAGACTCATGAATCAATTTACTCATCTCTCATTACAAGCACTTCTACTATAAGTATTTCATTGTAATTTTGGTCATTTGTAATTTAAAAAGCATGATGATGAGAGGCGTGGCTTGGAAATGCAACTGAACTGATTTCTTCTGATTAAAATCTGACCAGCGTAAGGTCAATGAACCCATCCACCCTTATCTAGAAATCTAGTTCTGTTCAGAGCGCTAAGTAGTACAGGAAATAACATTTATATCCTTAAACTAATTTTTTGGGTAGAAATCCCCTTTAAATTATAGCTATAAATATTCCACAATAACCCAAGCCGTGTAATGAAAATTACTTTTTTTGTTCCACTTTAGTAAGCAGGAACTCACATCTGTTTTTCCAGCAGTTCCTACAGAGAAAGCTTCTGGGCTTTGTAATTGATAGAAACACTGGGATTTTGTATCGTGCCTATAAAACTTAATTCTCGGTCTCTGGCATATACCTGAGATTAGGATGGAAATCTCTGATAAGCTTTTATATGTAATGGAGTTGAATTTCACTGAGCTTGTCTTTTATATTCGTGTCTGATTTAAAATCAACTCACATAATAATTTGCCAGTAATAATGCCTGCATGTAAAGTGCAGGTGTAATTATTTATACTATTTATCACCTCCACAGGGTACAGCTGCAGACGGCCATAAGAAAGAGCTGTAATAGGCTGGGAAACCTTACACCCTAATGAGTGCTTAGCCATTGTGCAGAATTAAAATGGGTCTGTAGAGAAAACCTGCCAGCCTTCTGAACATGAACCATTATTTTATTCATGCAGGGTAAAACAACATGGTCATTTAAAGCAGAATTCTGTTAAAGATAAATGATAAAAGGCCACTAAAAGATAAATATTTAAAAAAGCTGCAATACTTACTTTGAATATAGAGCTGTCCCCCGCAATACTATTTTTTCTCCAATAGATGTCCTCAGTCTTCAGGGCTGAATGACAGCCAGCCTCATTCAATACAATTCCTCTGAACTCAGGCTGTCACAGATACACCACCAGTCTGTGACAAGACAGTAAAGGAGATGCAGCACAGTGATGAGCTTATCTTCTAGAGGGTTATTCACGAATGAGCCGAAGGATTCATCCGTAGCTTCGGCTGACCCTTCGGCTCACTTCGGCTGCTTGAGCTCTTCGGTTCAGTCGAACTGAAGCGCTGCTGTATGAGCTATTCACTATGACCTGGAGAATAGCCGAATGCTGCTCGGCGGCATTCGGCTATTCACTTACTGTAGTTCGGTGAGCCCCATGAGAATAGGGGCGAACGGCAGCGAGTGAGCTGCCAGAGCTTCGGCTCATCCGTTCCAGATGTTGGATCGGCTTGGTCGCACTCCTTCTCTACTTCGGCTCAGCTGAACATGCAGAGCATGTTCGGCTGACTGAAGGCAGCCAAAAGCAGCCGATGTACGGCTGATTTTAGCCGATGTACGGCTGAAATTAGCCATACAAGGCCGAAGTGAATAGTTGAACAGGGTTCGGCTCACTTCACTTCAGCTCGGTTATTCACTCGGCTGCCTTCGGCAGCTAAGAGAATAACCCCATCAGATTGTAAGCTCTCACAGACAGGGCTCTCCTTACCATCTTGTCTTGATTTGTATTGTAACTGTAATGTCTTCCGTATATTCTAAAGCGCTGCACAAACTGTTGGTGCTATATACATCCTGTCAATAATAATACTAATAATCCCTCTGTCACTCTGTTTTCTCCTTTCATCAGCATGCTCCTTGTCCGCACATCAATTAATTGGCTCCTTGTGTTGATGCACCTAGTCTGAGCTCTGCTGTGCAGGAACTGCAAGAGGCTGAAGCCAAGTCAAATTCAAGTGCTTAAAAAATAAATTTAAAAATGTATTAATTAATAAAGAGTTGCATTAGTTTGTCTTTTATGG